CATTAGAACTATGCCTGTGATGGGAGATTATAGCTGTACTGTACTTTTTTATTTTCACAGATGATGTTGCTGTGAAAATTTATTTTCCTCACCTATCAAATGTGCTTTTTTTGTTTTAACAAACATTTTTTGTGTTGTTTTCCCTGTATGATATTTTTCACTTTTTTTTCTCTCTGCTTATATTTTTCTTTCCAGTTTATCTCTCTCCCTCATGTTTCAAGGGGGTAATCCTCTCATTTTAAAATTGTCAGCTATTTATAAGTCACTGGTACCAGCCAAAAATGATTTTAATAAATTGAATATTGAACTGGTTCAGTACAATATGGCTATGATATGTAAAACGGTAAAATATATTTAAACAATAAACTAGACCTGGTATACCCCAAGATATCACCTGACATAAATATGTCCATAAGATCTTATGTGGAGTTTTTTTGTGCAATTTGTAAAGAAAGTTATGGTTGATCACCAGTGGAAAACAATAGATACTGATAATTGTAGCCAAGTAAGAATGCAACTAAAATATAAAAAAAAATGTGTAGACTATGTAAACATGTTTTTAACATACTAGTACTTTTGTGATTGTCATAATAACTGAATGAACACACACATGACTTTTATTTATGCAAATCATTATAAAGAGAGATAACATTACTGTAAAAGGATTATTTATTCACTGAGTTTTAATTTTGCTTATGTCGCTGACTGGAGAATGCACTAAATTAAAACCTAGTGAATATGTAAAATTTACCCAATGAATATACCTGAAATGGTAAATCAGCTAAATTTAAACCCAATGAAAATTGGTCATTTTACATTATATAACTGTGTATTGTTTTTTGTTTTGTTTTTTAACCAGGCATCCCAAGCAAAACGTGTCAAGTTGAGCGGTGATGATCGCACTAGCAAGTTGTCTAATCTGAAGTCCACTGGATGGTCAGAGGTGGATGGCAGAGATGCTATTTATAAAGAATATTTATTCAAAGATTTCAATCAAGTAAGTCTAAAAGCCTGTCAATGTGGTTTCCCCATTTTGATCTTAAAATAGGGTGCTATCGCATTCAAATATTGTGAAATTGAACAATGTATTTTACATGCGTTACAATACATGGCATGAGACCCATATATCACATGATATGACAACTACCTGGTACCTTTAAAATTAATTGATTCTCAGTTTTGCAAGTTAACAGATTTGTATTAAATATGGTATGTACAATTTATTTTGAAACAGAGCGAATAAAATCCCTTCTTTCTTGTAGTTTCACAAATGTCCACCATTTTGTATTTTAAAATGACCACTTACAAATCCTATAGAAATGGGTTTGATAATTTCTTCTATTCTTTCGCTTTTTCAATGAACTTGACAATACACATAAGGAGTGCGAGTCACTTTTAAAAATGTTTTCTAGAAAATGAAAATGATTTAATGCATTGTTGATTGTCACACAAATTTTATGGCCATAATGCCATAAAGTAAATATTCATGTTTCTGGTCCTAATTCTTATCTATCTAAGAGTCCCTAACTGTATCATTATTCCTAGTATGAGGGTTCCTAACATAATCTTTATTTCTATAATGAGGGTCCCTAACATAATCTTTATTCCTATAATGAGGGTCCCTAACTGAATCTTTATTTCTTGTATAAGGGTCATCAACTAAAATCTAATTCCTAAAGGGAAGACCGTATCTAAATCATTATTACTAGTATGAGGGTTCCTAACTGAATCATTATTACTAATATGAGGGTCCCTAACTGAATCATTATTACTAGTATGAGGGTCCCTAACTGAATCATTATTACTAGTATGAGGGTCCCTAACTGAATCATTATTACAAGTATGAGGGTCCCTAACTGAATCATTATTACTAGTATGAGGGTCCCTAACTGAATCATTATTACTAGTATGAGGGTCCCTAAATGAATCATTATTACAAGTATGAGGGTCCCTAACTGAATCATTATTACTAGTATGAGGGTCCCTAACTGAATCATTATTACTAGTATGAGGGTCCCTAAATGAATCATTATTACAAGTATGAGGGTCCTTAACTGAATCATTATTACTAGTATGAGGGTCCCTAACTTAAGTATTATTACCAGTATGAGAGTTCATAAATAACTGAAATGTTATTTATTTTTAATATTATTTTTTTCTTTTATAGGCTTTTGGTTTCATGAGCCGTGTGGCACTAAAAGCTGAGAAGATGGATCACCACCCTGAGTGGTTTAACGTCTACAACAAAGTTCAGATAACACTAAGCACACATGACGTAGGCGGACTCTCTGATAATGATGTAACATTGGCACAATTCATCGAATCTGTTGCCGCTACAGTGCCAGAGAAATAGATAGCGCCCTCTACAGATTTCATTGGTGATCGGAGTGATGCCATGTGATTGTGGTTTTGTTTTAGAATTAGCATATGAACTGCTATATGAAGTTAACTGTCTTTTTTCACAATATGTTGGTATAACAAATGACGTCAAAATTGACCTATGATTAATTTTGTTTTTGATTGAAAATAATTTCCATGTCAGCTGTAAGGCTCTGAAAATGTTTCTGGTTGTTATGCTTTCCCAAATTGTGGTGTTTTTTATTTTTCAAATTGTGATTAAAATTAGACCAAATAAAATTATTTGGTGTTTCCAGTACCGGTAATGGTCTAAAACAATACTTGGTTAGGTAGGTAGGGATTTTTTTTTTAATTTTTGCCAACGAGTTGTACTCTTGATTTTGTGTTAAAATGATAATGCTTCAACTACAGATGTGAAAAATGATATTCGAGTTAGTTTTCATGATGTATTTTCTTAAGTGATAGTGATTCAGTAGATGGAAGGTAGAAGAAAACAAACTCAAAGTATACAATTTGATGAAATGCCAAAGCTAATTTGCATAAAAATAAGTAATAAGTAATCATCTGCATAATTGGAACTTTTGAATTTTCCCAAAAGTGTGGGTGGGTAGGAGGTAGGGTTACCGGAAACACTCAATTGATATTAATTGACTTTTATTTTATTTTTGTTATGATTTTAATCTGAAGTTGTGACAAACTCATTTTTAACTGCCAAAAGCAATGACAGAAACATGAATATATTTTTTTCTAGGCCTAAAACTTTTTTGAACAAGAAACAAAATGGTTGAAATGTTCATAGTAATGATAATTTCAGTTGAAATACAGTTTCTTTGTTTTAGTAGAACACAAGTATATGTATATGATAGTATTTTGAGTAATGTCATTTAGGAAACTCATGTCGAACTTAAAGGGGAACCACTCAATCACATGGATTGCATCACATGCTCATGGGTAATTAACTCCGCCTCCGTCCACCAAATAAATGAATGCTTATTATGCTCGCTTACTAAAACTATGAATGAAAGGCATTTTGCATAAATTAGCCGCCATTTTAAACTCAGGATTTTTACTTGTCGCGGCACATTTCGACCGAAAACAATAACATTTTTGCATCAAAAGCCCAACCAGATGAGTGTAATCGCTAGCGTACATATTCATGCCCTCGTAGAAATGTATTTGGAATCACCTCTTGATCTCTATATATCGTAAATGGCATATTTCTTGGAGCTCCCGCCACGATATGAGCGGCTTGGTTCGGATTAGCATACTAATTGCGATGGCCATCTTGCCCCTATTTATAGTATCGGTTCCCCTTTAAGTACTGTAATAGCAATAACAGTTAAACTGGGGTTTGTGACTGTATGGGACTTTACCATGCTGTGATTCTTTTTGTTTTGAGATGTCTCTTCTATAGAAATGGATGGTAAACTGCTCTGATGTGGACTTGTAGAGAAGTTAGAGTCAACTAAAAATAGGATAGTATGCAGTGATATATGTAAGAACTATAACATTTAAAGGCACTGGAAATCTGTTCAGTTTTCAAAAGGTGTTCAGGAATTGTTAGAATTTTGCTGGAGTGACTCCTGATAAGAGAAAATGAACTGAAACTTGTTTTATTTTCTGTGTACAGATGTGGACCTCTTTTTGTATTTAGCTGAGGACTCCTTTTTAATATTGGAGCCCGGTTGGCAGAATGGAGCTGCTGATCTGCACTGGCTCGGAAGATGAATTCTGATTGGCTAAAAAAACAAAAGACTTGTGGCGTTGAATGCACGTTCATTCTCAGTAATGTTATGCAAATTAGAAATTCAAACTAGCTAATCATTTACAACCTTCCGAGCCAGTGCAGATTAGCCCGAATGGAGGGTTAACGTCAGGGATTTTTTTAAACAAGGAAACAGGGGCACAGCGCCCTCATGCCATGGCCATGCACCTCCTTACCCTGGGTAGCAGATCTTCTGGCAACCATAAAATTCTGATTGACCAGGGATCACATGTGGCAACAGTCTTCAACTGTGACTTCAACTGTCTCATAGTCATTTTGTCATTTTAGTCACCCTAAGAAAGCCATAGAACGCTCCATTTTAACTTAGAATTATCAAAAAATCTACACCCTGGTAGGGAGAACCCCATCTCCCCCACTTAGTGGTGCCACTGAATTGCAGTGCAGTGCTCCCTCTTTTTTTTCTTGAAAAAATCCTGGTTATCATAATCCCTTGTTTCACCCCTTTAACACTGTACAGATACTTTTTTTATCCAAACATCACCTTGAATATAAACATTCCATTTTTGTTGCAAGCTTTGTATTGCGATAGAGTTAATGAAATGTTTGTATGATATATTTATAACTATTCTATCACGCACTAGAATTAAAAGTACTATCTATGCATATAACCGTGTGTCATTGTGTAAAACTGATTCACACCTGCAAGTTAAAGTGTATTGTTTGATGTTTGAAAATCAATTTTAGGTTTTACTCGCCTTGTACACAAAAGGGGGAACATAAACCCAAAATGTATTGTATGCTCGATGCATGGAGCCC